GAGAGAAGAAAGGATGGAGGGAGGGAAGAAAGGAAGAGAAGAAAACAGCAAAGAAAAGAAATGGAAAATAAAAAAAGAGAAGAAAAAGAAAGAAAAGGAACTTCAACCTGCACTTTAAGTCCATCAGCTATCCAGAAGTGGACAGCATATTTCATTGAAGTTCTTGGTCATTGCATTGATCAGAGTTCTTAAGTCTTTCAAAGTTGTTTTTCTTTACAACATTTCTGTAATTGTATAAACTGTTCTCATTCTGCTCACGTCACTTTGCATCAGTTCATACAAGTCTTCCCAGGTTTTTCTGAGACCATCCTCTTGACCATTTCTTACAGCCTTTTGGGCATGGTTCCAAATTGCTTCCCAGAATGGTGGGACTAGTTCACAACTTCACCAATAATGCAGCCTGGTCTTTTCTCAGGACTCATCCTTCATGACTTCTGCAACATCTGACACTGTTGACCACTCCTTCTTCCTAAGTGATCTCTCCTTTATCTCTCTTGGTTCTCCTCTTATATGTGTGACCAGTCCTTAAAATCTTTGTCCCAGGCCTTCTTCTCTTTTTTTCACCCTGCTGACCATCTTGATGACTTCTCAGCTTGAATAGATTTAATTATCACCTCTTTGCTAATGACTTCAATATCTGTATAGCCAACCTGACTCTTGCTCCTGAGTTCCCATGCCATATTGCTATCTTCCTTTTGGACATTTCAAACTAGATCTACTATAAACACCCCAAACTCAACATATATAAAACAAAACTCATCATTTAACTCACCCTTCTTCCAAACCTTCCTGTTTCTGTTGAGTATGTCACTATTCTTCAAATCACCCTAGTTTACAACCTCATTGTCATTCTTAACCCCTCACTATCACCCCACATATCAAATAAATAGACAAATCTTGTTGTTTCTACCTCTGAAAATCTCCTTCATATTCATCTGCTTCTCTTCCCCAACCTAGTCATAAGTCTGGTCCATTAATTCATCATCTCTCATCTGGACTATTCCAACATCCTCCTAATTGCCCTCCCTACCTGAAGTGTCTCTTGCTACTCAAGTCTGTCCTCAACAGAACTGCCAAGGTAATTTTCTTAACGACCACACCATTCACCTACTCAACAAACTCCAGTGGCTCCCTATTGCCTCTAGTACAAAATGTGAATGTCCCTGATTCAGTTTTAAAGCTCTTTACAATCTGGTCCCTTCCTACCTTTTCTGGTTTCCTTACACACCATTTCCCTTCTTGCACTCTGCATTCCAGCCATCTCGGCCTCTATTCCAAACACACAACTCCATGGGTTTTCTTTGTGCCCTCCCTCCCTCCCTAACCACTTCATGCTTAATTAACTTGCTTTTATTTTGTTTTTCTTCTGTGTATACCTATATATGTATGTATTGTCTCTTTACAAAAACATAAGCTCCTAGAGAGCTTTATTGTATCCCTGGCACTGTGTCTGGCATTAAGCATGTGTTTAACACGACTGGCTCATACACACTATGGTTTGGCCAAACTTGGCATTTTGCCTATTCTTCATAGAGAGTACCTCATTTCCTGCCTCCATGTTTTTGCACTGGCTATTTCCCATGCTTGGAATTTATTCCTTTTTCATCTCCACCTTTTGTAATGCCTACTTTTCTTCAAGGCTCAGCTCAAACACCACCTTCTACCATCCCCCCAGAAAAATTCCTCATTAGGAAACTCATCATCTTGCAAGACTGCATCAGCTTTGGTGCTCCTTTCTCATCAGTATCCTTAGTACCCTCTTCCCCTTTGACTAGAGGGTGGAGCAAAGGACTCCTCCCAAACCTCCATTTAAAGAGGACTCTGAGACTTGCCATCTCTTCATTTCCCACCAGCTTGCACTCCTTGAACTGGATTCCACTGGTCACCCATCCTAGGTGACTTCTGAGGTCTCCCCTCTTCCACAAGCTGCTTTTCCCTTTCCTTTTATATACTGTCTTCATTCATGAGATTGTAAGTTCTTTGAGGTCAGGGATTTTTTCTCCTCATATATGTATTCCCAGCGCTTACCACAGTGCCTGGTACATAGTAGGTACTTAATAAATGTTTGACCAACCAACTAAGGTGAAAAGGGCCTGAACTAAGGTACTGTTTGTGTGAGTGGAGAGGAATCAGATATGAGAGATGTTGTAAAGGTAGAAATGACAAAGTTTAGCAACTGATTGGATACATGCGATGACAGTGAAAATGCCAAGGATAATGCCAACATAATAACCCTAGAAGACTAGGAGATAGTGATGCCTTTGACAGAAATACTGAATTTTAAAAGAAAGGAGAATTTGGAGAATTAGCACATTCAGTTTTGGACATGTTGAATTTAAGATTCCTCCCAGGTATCCGGTTTGAAATTTCCATTAGGCTATTAGTGAGGTAGGACTGAAATTGAGGCAAGAGATTGGGACTGGATATTACAGATTTGGGAGCTGATGAGGAGACAGACAGAGAGAGAGAGAGAGAGAGAGAGAGAGAGAGAGAGAGAGAGAGGGAGGAGAAAAGGAGAGGGGAAGGGGACAGAGAGGGAAGGACGAAAGGAGAGAGACACACAGAGAACAGAGACAGAGAGAGACATAGAGACAGGAGGAGAGGAGAAGGGGAGAGAGAGGGAGGGAGGAAAGGAAAGAGGGAAACAGACACAGAGACTTGGAGGAGAGAGACAGAGAGACACACATAGAGACAGAGAGAGGAGGAAATGAGAGGGGAAGGAGGGAGGGAGGAAGGAGAGAAGAGAAAAGGACAGAGAGAGATTGAATCTGGAAGTGAGAGTAGTATATCAAGTAGGGGGATGACATGGTCTGACCCACACTTCTGGAAAATCACTTTGGCAGCTGGGTGAAGGGTGGCCTGGAGTCCATCTCCCTGTGACCCAGTGAAGGCTTTATGAATGCAAGACTGATTGACTGATTGCTATGGGGGGGGTAGTCTTCAGCACAGCATTTTACTGGTATCCATCTCTATCTTGCAAAATGTAAGACAGCACATGTGAAGGTTGGCTGGCCAATTCTCTAGTTACAGCCAGGTGCGGTAAAGTGGATATCAATGGATACAAGTCCCAGATTTGCCATATATTACTTGTATGTCTTGGATAAGTCGCTTCATTTCTCTGAACCTCAGTTGTGCTAACTGAAGCACCCTCACATTATAACAGTGCTTTTAAGTGCACAAAAGGCACCTTCCCTCACTGACAACCCTGGGTGAAGTAGGTAATGGGTCTTCGTGGTCCATAAAATAAGGGGTGGGGACTAGATTCCCTCCAAGTTTCCTTTCAGCTCTATGACCTTATGGCCTGACTGCTGTGTTGAATCTAGAACAAGGCTTTTCTCTCTGCTTCAGAGGCAAGTATTACTATCATGAGGGAATCTGACAAATGCTCTTCAAGGCTGGAAACACTGCAAGCTGGCTGATGTACTGTGCAGCTGATTGAGTTCAATTGAAACTTGAAGTTCTGAAATGTTTCTAAGTAGAAATAAAATATGCTAAATTGTTGCAGGGTAAGGGTTCCTTTGTTTGCATTAGATTTTAATCACACGTATGATTTGGTTGACCACTCCGCATTAAGTTAAACTGGAATTGTGAAAAATGAACCACTCAACCATATGAACGAATAAAAATATTTCTGGACCATGTGACGGTGCTTTTGCTTCCTCTGTTCTTTTCTGGGCTACATACTTGAACCTGCATGAATGAAGATACAGGAAATAGGCCGCTGTGATGAAGCTGGCCACCAGATCTGTTTGTTTAATGACAACTGGATTACGGAATCACTTTTCTATGGCAGGAAGTATTTTTTGCAGAAGAAATGGTAGCAATTGCATAAAAGCAATCACATATAATATGCTTCCCTGCCAGCACTGTTATAAAAAAACCATCTGTGATCTGGTCACCAGAATCATGAGTTGTATGGAACCTGGGCATGAGGAAACCTAGGAGTGAACATCCACCGTGGTATAAAGCAACGGGAGCAGAAGTAATGGAACACTGGAATATGGCTACACTTTTTCATCATACTTTTCTCTCTAGGCCTATCAGGAAAATGGGCTTCCATTCTTTGTTACAAAAATGGTGTCAATCATTTTGACAGTTACTTCACACTACAGGTGCAATATTAGAGACCAAAGGAGTTTGGAGGCAGAGGAAGACATGACATTATTACAATTCCCCATCAGTACGTGACACCCCAAGTTACCAGTGCTTTAAAAGCCTAACATTGCTACTCCTCATCAGAATGACTTTTGGAAATAGAATTCTAAGGCATGTGCACATAAAAGGTGTAATAAAGCAAACTGACTTTAGTGAGGTCTCTGCCTAAACCAAATTATTCAACTTTTCTCAAGCTGTCTTAGAAAACTTACCAGAACAGCCTGTATATTCTGGTGGTCTCCTACACAATATTGTAATCTAGGAGGAGGCCCCTAGTATATGAAACATGGTAAGAATTGCAGTGATTGGAATGTAAAAAAGATATGATTTCCTGCACTACCGGAAAAGGCACCCACATTCATGTGATCACAGGATTACAGGTCCATCAGGGCATCACAGCTTAATGCTCAAAGGAATGGATGGATTTTAATACAATCTTACACCCTACCTTAAGGCTTACTTTGTGGAATTATGACATCTTGAGACAAAATAGCACTTTCTTGAAAGAAGTCTTTAGAAAGGGTAGATCTACAATTTGTAATGGACTTCAATGTAACGTGGCCTATGGGTAATGATTCCAAAAAAGTCTAGTGAATGAGGTCTATGGTCATGAATATTAAAAAGAATAAACACAGGACTCTATTAGGCAATCAAAATTTTAATAACAAAGATACTATTTGTGACATGGTCAAATATACTTGGCTAAGTCCAGATAAAAAATGCTTTTAGCCCTAACTGTAACAACTATACACAGCTTTATACAGAACATTCCATAAATCAACAAAAAATACATTTGAGCACAAAAAAATAAAAAATATTTAAGGGACTCTATTCTCTAAGCAGCATTTTTTTTTTTTGCAAAACAAAGGTATTTCTTGGACTGATTAAATATCTACAAGTACTTTTTCTTTACAAAAATACATATATTCTTAATAGACTAAGTCATTAACAATGACCTGGTATTTCTTTCACTTCAATTTGAATGATTTATAAGCTAAACTTTACAACCACAAAAAGGTTTATTTGTATTAAGATGTTATCACTTTTGACAAAAAGCTTAAAATATCTTATATTTTAAAAGAAAATTAGCAACATAACTTTACAATATAATCTATGATCTTTTCAGTTTTGTGAGGGCTATTGTATTAAAAACTGACAATCACTCCGGTGGCTGACCAGATGCAAGGAAGCATTAGAACATTGGTACACCCTAGGTCCTTTCTTCTCCTTACTTGGATCACAGCTTTACTTAAGGTCACTTAGGCCCACCCCCCTCCCATTCCCATCCTAAAAACAAGACAAACAAAAATTCCAAAGAACTAAAGAAAACTGCTTTGGGCTGATCCCAGTACAAATTTTAACGTGTAGAACTCCCACTTCAGTGAACTGATGCACAGAATATTTACAGGGATGAGACTGTTTAAATGTTTTTCCAAACACTACCTAGAAACATATACTAGTCAGCATCTGTACTTGATTAGATCTATATCCCACAGAGATCTATAGAAGAAAGGAAGAAAATTAGGTCTAATAATATATGTGTGTATATGCTTTTATATATACATATATATGTTTTTACTTGAGTAACTGATACCAAGTTTCATGACAACTGAGGCAGGGAAGAAATCAACTTAAAAGTCAGGTTTTAATGTGAGAAAAATGCATAAATGGATATACTAAAATGGCCATTATAAAGTTCAATCATTTTTTCCTTTTCTTATTTTAAATTTTCCTAAGTAAGATGTGCTCAATTTCCGCAGTATTTTAAAATACAAGGAAGCAAAAGTATTTGTAAAAATTTTATGTTGCCATGTTAAAAAGTCATCCTTTTTCATTTTTACTATCAACAATCTGAAAGTATTGAAAGCAATGACATTGCTTTAAGGGGAAAAAGCCATCAAACCCAGTATGATAGATTTAAATGCATTTTTATGAACCTTCAAATTGGCCCTTCCCCATCAAAACATTACTAAGATAGGTCAAGTAAATCCAGAAGGAGTTGGGTATTTTGTGCTTTGGAAGGGTTGTTGAGTCTGACAACACACTTTAAAATGTTTCTTTGTTCAAAAGCCAGCAATGGCAGACACTGTGCTCTTCTCTCTTGGCTTGGTGACCTCATCCTCCAATCACAGGACTTAATAAATTCAAATTATGATCATGGCATTTCCAAGCTTTTCTGATTCTCAATCAAAAGAGTAACAGTTATACCAACCATTTGCTTTCTAAATTCATATAACCAGCCAACCAACATTTGGCTGATACACAATGTACTTTAACTGAATTATCATTACACTCAAACTATCACGTTTTTTCATAAAGGGCAGAATTTGGCATGAGGTATATCCATCATGGAAGCCCTATCTAACATAGTTGTGATGCTCAGAGATATCAAAAGGTCTGCATAAGATGAAAATTCCTCCTAGAAGCTGGTCAAACAATATAGATCCTGAGGACAAAAATATAGTTTGGAAAAATGGAAAAGCCCTTAATTGGATCCCTATTTGGATAATAACAATTAAAGTAATTCTTCACAAAGTGTTTTTTGTTTTTGCCTTTTAAGAATAAAATACAAGTCCCCTTATGAAAAGATATGATTTTTTTTGGTGGCAAAAATATGTAAGCTTTTCTGAAAGTTAATCAGAATACCATGTTTTTTGTTTAAACGTTAAGCATACCAAGTACTTTTACAGAGCTTGCACTCAAAATATTTTCTATGTCATTTGACCAGGTACTAACTAAATACAAATTTAGAACAGATCTAGAACCACAGAAAAAAAATGCTTCTAGTTTCAAAATTTTAAACTTGGAACTTTACTGTAAAAGAACTAGCTCTCAAAAGAACAAAAGGACAGACTTCAAGCTTCCATTCTACTATGTCTTTCTTTTTATCCTAATCCAGTCTACCACTTATCACTTCAAAGAAATAAAAATTGTGCTCATCTCATTCCCGTCTTTGGGGATTTATTTTATTCTGTAACGTGGTGTCGTTTGTTCAAAGAAAACCTATAATGACTTATCTCACCAAGCATGTTCAGTCTGACACCTTTCTTTGGTGAATTTTATCGCAATCTATCAAGGTTATTGCCTAAAAGAATAGAAAATTTATTCAATTCCAAACTTAATGTTTCCAGTCTTTAAAGTGTTAAAATTGCTTTTCTCCCAACATCATTACCTAACAGTAAATGTGTCTTTGGTGATGCCTATTTGTTTAACAAATCTTTCAAAAAGAAAATTTTAACATATCATTTTTTTAAAAGCACTATTTAAATAATGAAACAATTCCTAGGAAACACAAACCAAAACATCATCTTACTCAAAGTTTATGCAGTAAATCTAAAAGACAGAAACGTAGTTTTAGCAATGAGGCACTTTCTCTTAAATAACATTGTCAATAAAGCTAATGAGTTAGTTGCAACATCACATAAGATAAACATCTGTCCCCCTCACCCCCAGAATCCATTGAAATTTAGTATATATGTGAATGCCATATTTAGGCATACTCATTTACAGATATAAAATGTGGCACATTAGGAAGAGAGTTTTCAACATTGACAAGGGAAATAACACATTTTCCTTGATAGTTAAAAAGACATTATTCAAATTTTTCCCAGGTTCCACAAGAATACCTCACCAATGTACTTTATATTTTACTCTGTTCCCTAACAACCTCTAGTTAATCTAACAAAAGTCCAATCTGTCAATTAACCCTATTTGCTTCAATTAATGAGATGTCTGTACTCTGCAAATACCTTTTTTTCTTCAAGCCTCTTGGACTTGACCATATACATACATTTATGGTTTTTCCCCAAGGCAACTAACAACAGGTTTAAAAAAAACCCAAACTTTCTGGGACTAAAATCCCTTTAGTTTATTGCTTAGTTGATTGAATAGCTATTAAGGAATTTGTTATGTTTCAATTTGTTCTCTGATTTTATTAACTGCTCACTGATTTTTTCATAGAGATTATTTGTAAGAAGAGATTTCTTATTTCATGTGTATCCTAAGGTTGTGTAATAAGCCTTAAAAAATCATATTCTAATTTTCTGTGTGTAACTTCTAAGTCCAAAAACCTGATTTAGGGGAATAAGCATCTGGGGATTTATAGTCTTATTAGATGTGCAAATAGTTTTAAACTACAGTCATTAAAAAAAAAAAGTATCAGAACAGGTGGAGACTACATCATGTGTCTATTTTAGAGACTGATGAAGCTGTGAAGTTCAAGTCCATCATGTGATATTTTTGTATTACTTATGTCCTTCTTAAAATATGTAACTAATCCAAAGTATCTGCTTGTCTTCATATGATATTCATCTTTCCCCCACTTTTTTTTTGGCGCATACTCTGACACGTATATTGTAATTACACTTAAAAGACATGCATCACACATTGATATGAAATAAAGGAATTTTAGAATAAGACTCTCCCTAACATTGTGTAATTGTTCAGTAGAAAAATAGCCAACTAAATATGATTAAGTAATGTTCAGAACAGCATTAAGTTTAAGTAGCTAAGAAATCAGGTACGTATAAAAATGTGTTTAAGGCTATGCTTCTTGGCAGAAAACACAGAAATAACTAAGTTTCCTATCTGTAGTTTAAAAAAAAGTTTCCTAATGGTTTAATTAATAAAAAATTATTTTCAACTCTGAAATATTGTTTTAACTATTGACCAGGCTATGACAAATTTATGGTGGATTTTCTAATACAAGAGGGGAGTTAGGCAGTAGAACTCTGCAGCAAAGCAAAAGAATTTCTTTAGTTATTTACTGAATTCAAGAGGGCTTTGTTGGGCGAGGGTAAAAATCTATTTCTAAATATTCAAAGACAAATAAATGCCCCTTTTCCACTTTGCTTGTTTAATTTGCTTGCAAACCCTCCCAAAGAACCACCAGGACAAATGAAAGCCTAAAAATATTGCTATTAATATTCTAACAAAGTTGGAATGAGTAATTTTTTTAAATCAAAAAGTTCTATCAAAGATATGTTAAAAAGGACTTATGAAGTTATAGCCTTTTATATACTGTAAAATATATTAAGATTTTAGCTATATTATGACTAGTACTATAAATTTACAAGCTACATTTTACTGGAAATTTTAGTATACATACAGTGCATTAGACTGTGTTTAACACACAAACTGCTCATGTCAAATTTCTAAAGCTGAGAGTTTATTTACTCCTCCCTTGAAGTTTCCTCCCCATCTGATTAAGAAAACAAGTTAATCTGTTTTCTAATTATTGATATAACTTAGCTTCTTAAGTAATTTTCCTCTTTTTTGAATACCAATGTAATTTTTAAGTTACTTAAATGGCGGTTGTAGATGAAATGATACAAGCTTTATTTTTGTAGAATTACAGTAAGATAGAACTCTTGACTTACAAACTGATCTGAAATGGATGGAAGGTTGCAAAGGACATGTATCTATAAAAGCTATAAAATTAAGTATGCTATTTTAGCTCTAACTTCAATAAAATTTATTTTTTCCCGAAGGTTGTTTTCTTCCTGTTTAAGGCAAATGTTCCATTTTCTCTGATTACTTAAAAGGATCTAAAATGAAATCCCCTTAACCACTGATATTGGTTAGTCTGCTCATTTGCCATATCATATTTACCTTTGTTTTTAAAAAATACTATTTGGAAATGTGACAGTTAACAAAAAATGTTAATATACAATTTTCTTTGAGACTTGAAAACACAAAAATGTCTAATGTCTAACGACTACAAATTCTAACATTTAATGTTAAAGTCATTACAACTCTTTGCATGCCACAACGACACACACCTAAGGCCAACTTTTTCAAAATGTACTCTAACTTGAATAAAATCAAATAGGGAGACATATATAAAATGGGAAATACAATGTAGCTTCACATCGCAGCTCCTGCTTGTCCATAAGGCATTATGGAGGGAGTAACAACTTCACTTACACCACTGACTTTGTAAATGAGATCAGCTGCCAGTGTCCTGAATATTTATGAATCTTGCTTTAGTTTTTATATATGTCACATAAAATTGCACCCAGGAAACCAAAAAAGGCTTTCCAGAGCTACTGGTAGATCCTATTTAAACAACTAAAAATTACTATAATTATGCTGTGTTTTAATGTTATCTGAAGAATAATTAATATTCACTGAAAAAAGGACTCTTGTACATGAGGAAACTCCACTTGTACACATGGGACTTTTTAACAAGAACAAGACAGTGGCGTGGCAACCACTTTTCTAAGTATATTTTCTATACAAAATAATTCCAAGATATAATCATTAAGTTCTCATACAGTACTATTATTTTAAACAATAATCAATAAAATAGCAAATATGTGAAAACTGCAACACCACGAAGACTGAGCACTGCCATTTCCTAGTGTAATCAACACTGGTATTAGTACAGTCTTGGAATAGGCAAGCAAAATAGTCAGCAGATTGAATCTTGGAGATGCACTGGACTGGTTTCAGCTATGACTTGCAATGCAATGGTTGGACAGCACAGGTATCTTATGCAGAGATTTCAGTAGCAGAATGGCACTTGGTTTGTTCTCAATAGAAATGACAAAGATGCAGTTGACAATTTAAAGAAAGACAATGTTCTTATTTGCATGCTGAAATTCTAGTTGTGTCCCCTAGTCCAACACATCCATTCATTGTGCAATCTGTCGATGGGTAAACAAATAGTGCAGGATTCCTCTTGGTGGGATTTATGCCCTTTGGTTTAACCAAAATCAATTCTTGGTCGATACTGCAATACCATGGGGTAAGACTATAAAATAAAAATCAGATAATGAACAATTTATAATTTAGATTTGTATAAAGTACAAATGATATAGTTAATTAAATATTATCTATTCAAGGACCTTGAGAATTTTAAATTGTAAGTTATAACTTATTACTAGATCTGTCAGTAGTAGTGATTATGAGAGTTAAGCCAGAAACATTCCTTGTTTAAATTTTTTTTTTCTAGAATTAGTTTCACTTTTTAGATGTTTTGTCTCCCATTCATTCATTTTTCTAAAATGGTAGAGGGTTGGGGGAGTTTTCAATAATTGCCTTAATTTAGGCAAGTTTGGATTCCCTTTCCCAAATATATATATTTTTAAAATTGAAAACACTACTACTCAAATGTCTACCTGGGATAATTTAGTTGTAAGACTTAAATTTCAATTAGACACTTTCCTCCTCCTCTACGATTAGGAATAAGAACAGGGCCATCAAGGACTTTCACAATCAAAGACTGTTTTACTTAGTTAAAGTTCCGATTTTTAATTTGTCTCTGTGGCCTGGCCTCTGTAGTTATTTTCCTTCTCCTCCAACCCGCAGAATTTAGGAAGAACTGTATTAACTACTGATGGTCTAACATGGTACTTCACTAGTTTTGTTTTTTTTTTTTTAACAATAAATTAGTTGGTTAATTATTCTGTTTGATTAAATGAAAACAGATAAAAATGTACAATAAAAAAGACAAGTAACCTCCTAAAGGAGGACAGCTGTACCACTTACAAATAGAGGGTAAACTACCTCTTCAATATCAAACCACCTTAGGATTCTGTACAGTATGGTCAAATTAGATAACATGACTTAAAGATTTTTGTGTCTGTTTTAAGTCAAAACTAGATTCCTCATCTACAGTGCTAGGGGCCTCCCATGTGCCATCTATAATCAAATTCTCATGGAGTTCTTTTTCTCTTCAGCTTGCCCTTCAACACAATCATTTCTAGATCTGCTCTTTTCCTGCCTCTGGAGAAGCAGGACAGTTTCAACAATTAAAAAAATTCTCAGGAAACACGGAAAGAAAAGATGGCAGCTCTCCTTTGAGACATGTCTTAAACCAAGCAACAACTCACACAAGTGGCGAGCCATGAGCTTTTCCTACTCTTTTGAATGGGGGGGAATTTGTTTTAATTTGACTTTAACATGTTTGTTCTACAATAACAAAGGGGTTTACTGATTTTGATCCAACTCAGCAATGCTACAAAAGAGTATCAAAATGAATTTGATTTGAAACAAATTTTGAAACAAAACTGCAGCGACTGAAACTGAGTAGTGAAATTTGTACGCAGGCAGACATATGGAAACGTGATTAAAATAAGTGAGGTCTAACAATTCTTAAGACCCTAACACTTAAAGTCCTCTGTTACAAGTTAATGAAAAATACAGTCTAATCAACCTAAGTTTCTGCTGAAAGATTAGGAATTTTGATTTAAATTATCCTACCATTTAATCAAGTATGGTAAAAGTTTTAGAGAAATTTATCTATTTTACTAGATAAATATTTTTACTTTATATTTTTTTATTTAACTTTTGGTTACCAGGGCTTATGAGAGCTGATTATGATATCAAAAGACTAGGTTAACTTAGTTGCTTACTCTTGTTTGACTTAGGCAGGGCCCCCTGTTTTCCTTAGCAGGGGACTTGAATTGTATTGGAAGGTTCGTTCTAAATCCCCATTCTAAGAAAATGTAGGTTCAGTTTTCTAACTGGTTTGTTTGCCATAAGTTATAAACACTGTTCATGAAAGCAAGGGAAGGCCTAGTGGATATTCTTTAGATATTCAGTTTTACAGAGTTTCTTTGAATAATTATCAACCTGGGACCAACTTTAACTTATCCGTAAGGTTGTAAGTAGGAATAAGGGTTGAAGAGAAAAATAAAGACCTATAGTGAACTATCATTCTAAGGCTGAAGGTATACAAATTACTTTCCACTGGCCTCAAACTGAGCAGCAAGAAAAGTGGTTATTTTTTTTTTAACCAATAGTTATCCTTTTTTAAAAATCTTTTAAAAATTTTTTACCAATAGCTATCCTTTTTTTAAAAAACATCTTTTATTTATTTCAGACTAAAATACTAAAACAGAGAAGTGGTTATTTGTAGGTATAAATGAAATGTTATCAATGAACAGCCAATAGTTATTATTCATCCATCTCTTCTTAGATCATAAGGTTAGAAAGGGAAAGGGCCATTTTTTAAGATACTTTTTTCCTGCGAGTTTCATTAGATGTAAAAATTAAGTTTACTTCTCTCTCAGTTGGTAAAAAATAATACCCTTCCAGTACAGGACTTAATTGCTTGTCTAAATGGTTATCTTTATGATGTTACTTTAATCATCACATACAAACAATAAGATGAAAATAAAGGTCAAGGAAGACAAATTATGACATAAAATTGTTTTAAGAGTATACTATTGACAAGGACAACAGGTATGACATGGAAAAACAACAACAATGGGGGAAGTATCTAATAATTCACAGGAGAAAGCAACTGGGAAAAGAGTAAGGAACAAAGCAAACTCGACATTTAATATGAGAAATCTCCATGATATCACTAAGATTTGGCAGCAGAAATAGAATAATGGACAGCGCATTTGATTAAAAAGAGACATAGGACTGAAAAGGAAATAAAATAACCTAAGAAGGCATATACCTTATAGAAGGTCATGAAAAAAAAAATGGTGGAAAAAGAACACAAAGCAGATGACAAGAAGCTCTAAAAGTAAAAAAATGTCTCAAGAGAGACAGGGCCAAAAACAAAACAAAGCCAAAAACTCAAAATAAGATTGATAATACAAATACAATGATTCTAATAAAAAAAAAAAAAAAGCAGGAGTCACTTAAATAGACTTATGTGGCTGCACTGCAGGGGGGTGAGGGGTGGAGTTTGCTGAAGAACTCCAATCTTAAAGGGATGTGAAAAAAAGATTTAAGGAGGCACAGAGTCAAGGACAAATAGAAATGAGTGGCAAGACCAACGGATGAATAGTGCCAGGGGTGGCAAACTTCTGAATGCACCGAGAATCCCACTTCATCTGCTTCACTCCCAAAAAGCTAAGAAAAATTACAAAGTTTCTTCATGTGTATTTTCAATGAGAAGAATAAGTCCTATTGGAATGCAGTATAAGATTAACTAACTGCAAAAACCTCAACTATTCAAAACTTCTATTTTGCTTCTGTTAGGTTATCTACAAGGATTCACATTAAGTGACCTTCACAAAGGTAAAATAAACACGCTTAAGAGGGAACTGAAACTTGAGATGAATGAGAGAACAATAAAGATCGAATACCTTCTTTAAATGTGTTGAAGTCATCTGATCCAGATGAATGATATTACAAATGTAACTGAAGGACCACCGTCAATAAACTTAGAGAAACTGTAAAACAATGGGATAGGGACCAGAAGGAATAAGGCAGAGAACCGATGCAGGAAGGAGCAACTGCAGGAGGTGGACCGTGATGCCTGTCCCGGGGGAACAGTGTGTGCTCACTGAGAGGCGGCACAGCTTCACTAACAAGTCATGCCAAACTACCCTCATTTCCTGCCTTCAGAGCATTAACTAGACTGAAAGATCAGGGAAATGCTGCAGAGTGTCTCTGGATTTTAGCAAGCCATCTGACAAGATTTCGAGGGGCTGGAACAAGGGGATGAAAGTAACAAGATAGGGATAAATGGAAAGCACTGCCCGTACTTATGTTAAAAGTCAATTGCTCAAGTACCGGAGGGAGAGAGATGTGGCTTAACAGTAGTTCCCACGTGAAGAGGATGGAGGTGATCTGGTTAAGAACAAAGCCAGTAGAAGACACAGTATGAAAGTGTGACTCAGCTGCTAAAAATGTTCATGCAATTTTAATTAACATGAAGCACAGTGTCCCTACTGTGTAGTCAGACCATAACTGGAACCTTCTTGGTAGGAATAGGCAGAAAGTTGACCACTGGGCTTCACTAGCTGATTGAGAATTCAGGGCTTACATGGATGCTTTGCTGCTTACCTACTGTAGATAAACCAACCAACCCCACTCCTACAACAATCACTGTTCTTATTAATGGAGGCCAATGTTGTATTTAAGACCCAGCAAGTAAGGTCCATTCCTTGCTAGGTAGCATTTATAACAGACCCTCTGAGTGTGGCTAAGGGTTGATTCCCTCTCCCTGTCAGATAAGTAACTATAAGAGATGTGATTTCAAGGTCCTCTGAAAAACCGGTTAGTTTTTTAATTCCTTATATATGCATGTATCCTACACTTGGCCAGGGTTGCTGACACTGGTCCAAGAAAGACATAATTCTCTTCCGTGTCCTAAAGAAGATGGAATTTCTACTTGGAGGGCCCTGCTGACCTAGGACAGCTATGCCACCAGTGGGTTAGTATCCTAGGGTAAGAGTGAGCTCTCTCTTCTTTGATTGCTGTCTGAATTACATCCTAAGGCTCCATACTGATAGCCATTAAGAGGAGGAAACAAAATAAAGGAGAGACATTGGTTGTTACAAGTATGGTGTGTCCAACTTTAAGATGGACAATGACAAACTACATGACCTAAATAGTGAGGGGTCTGAAAACCATGTCATATAAGGAAGTATTGAAAGAATTGTGCATGTTCAGCTCAGAAGAGGCCCACCAGTTGCCATTAATTTGAAGGACTGTCATTTGAAAAGGGATTAAACTTTGGAAGGGGGATTGCGCTTGGCTGTCTGCACTGTATAGACTTTGGATCAACGTGAAAAAGAATGTTATAATTTCTTGCCTTATGAGGAAGTGAGCTCCTTGACATAGGAAGTGTTCAGTAAGAGGAAGCCGATCACTTGTCATAGCTGTTGTACTATCATGGGGTGGACAGTTGGACTACATTTCTAAGATATTTCCTATCAGTAAGATTCTGTGGTTCCACGTTCAAACTACTAATGTCTAGTAAAAAATGAGAGGCTCTTAAAAGGCAGTTAATTAAACATTTGGGCTCAAGAGCCCCACTCAATAACAAGAAAGACTGGTCTGAAATAGGAATGAATGGATTTTCTCCTTGGAGCACCAGATAGGCGCTAACTCGGAGTGAGGGACCCCAAAACCAGAAAATAAGAGATGGTTTAGTTAGCCACTGAGTGCTACAGAGTAACAATCCCTATGATCTGATGACTGGGAACAATATTTTATAGAACCACAGATGGTGAGAGGCCTCAATATCATGCCAATAAGATAACTGGTTGAAGGAAGCAGGGATGTGTAGCTTTGAAAAGAGAAGATTTTAGGGGAAATACAACTGCATTTAAGGATGTAAAGAAGATGTCACGATGAATAAGGATTAGATGTTTTGCTTGGCTCCAGTATGCACAACTAGAAACAAACAATGAGGGGAAGCTGCAAAAAGGTTAAATTATAAGGCTCATTAATTAAGCTATCTAAAGGAATGGACTGTTACAGTAGCTACTGCGTACTGTCTAACTAGAAGGTTTCAAATGAATGCTGAATAACAACATTTGAAGGATGCTGTAGAGATTCTCACTCAGGGACAGGTGATGGATTAAATGGCCTCTGAGACTCGTTCCAACTATGAGTATCTATAATTCACATTTGTCCACAATTTGATATTTTATTTTTTTAGTCATCTGTGCATGACACACAAGTCAGAAAAATGTGTAAAACTTACAGAATGCTTGCCAAAATATAACGTACAGAAATAGTTCACGTAGGTTGAAGCTAGTTACTAGTAAAATACATTTATTCCACAGGACAGCTTTAAAATTTATGTGCAACTTCATTTTTAAAACCTCAACTTTGTTGTAGTTCTATAGAAATAAGTACAATGATTTGAAATGGCTGTAACCTAAACATTGATTTTATAACCCAGACAGTATCAGGATTACAAAGCTACATAAATTTCAGAGTGGGTCCTTATCATAGAGATATTCACATATCCTTAATAGCAGTAACATGTACAGTCGTGAGTGCCTCTTACCTGATAAAAAGGGCCATCCTGTGAGCGGACTTGCGAAGCTGAGCAGTTCAGACACCGAAACTGCGGAGGAGATGAACTGATCAGATAAGAGGCATCCACAACTGGACACATATTTACAACTAATTATTTAAAATGTTTTACCCTCCAACATTAGACAGATATAACTTAGTTTAAGTAGGCACTTTCTAAGATGTGGTATGTCTTTTTGAAAATAAAATTATTCTCCTAATTCAAAGTGATTATTCAATTTGGCCCGGGGAGTCCAAATTTTGTCTCATACATTTAAAAAATGCTACTTAAAATTACTAGGGGAGGCAGAATGTGATCAGAGAAGCAGCCATGGAGTTATGCCCTGCTGCTGACACATGTTATTGGCTATGTGACACCCTGGGGAAGTCACTTAACCTCTCACAGTTCCACATATGCATTAGTATAGGGAGTTTCTTCACTGGGCGGGCCCTACTCCAGAGAAATCACAGGTCTGCTCCGCCAAAACAGGGTACCTTCTACCGACATCCTACCGATCTCTTGTCAAAGAAAATCCTGCTAGGGAAACCTGACTTACTATGTTCTGACTTCCGTCAATTCCTCCTGAGTAGGTTCAACTCTACCAAGTTCTCCTTTCTCTCTAATTTATGAATTTTTAAATGGATTTAGTCATACAACTGGATAGTCCTGGTAGCTCAAGGTTCTGAGGAAGGTTATGATCCTTGCTCAGTCATACCAAGAGCTTCATGTTGGTCACTTTTCAAGACTGGGAATGAAGCTCTGCACATGCTTAGATTGGCTTCTGGTGTCTGAACACTAGGCTGGAATACACGAGTTATTTCCCTGTTAAATAATCATCCAATAGTCGTTTATTCACTCAAAAATAAAAATTAAACCCTGTCATGATTTTCATTATCTACACAATATGTCCTAAAAGTTTTCTTAACCATAAAGGGTAATTATTTCAATAGGATTATCAAAACAAACAAAATGAGCATTCTGAACCTATCCAAATAGTAACTTATCTGATCTGTATATATATCTCCAATAAGAAAGAAGATATTCGATAGAACAATCATTAGGAATGAGGCATTTTTAATGGACTGTATCATATGAATACATGATTTTTTAAAAATGGTTATTAAGTTGGGAAAGGAATAAAATACAAATATGATTATGGTACTTTAACTTGAATTTCTTTTTTCCTTAGAGAATTTATTATTCAAAGGACTTTAGGGAAACAGACTTTGTAGTCATTGATTATCTGGGCATGAATCATGCATATACCTAAGAAAAACCTTCCACATGTGGCACTGCTGGTCTCATGGCCACCTTCCTCTCTAACTACTGCTTCCTGGGGAGGCTTTCCTCCCTGAACTATCATTTTATTTCTGTTAGAGTTTTTTTTTTTTTTTTACAAAAAAAAAGTCAAAAAAAAATTTACAAATGTCTACATTATCACTCTGACTAAATGTAGCAGTTAATAGTAGCAAGATTTGATGTGGGGTAGGTTGGGTGAAAGGACAGAAGGATGAAGAAATTATTTCCCTAAGCGATCATTCCCCTTCCTTTACTGAGAGGTGCAGTCGAATCAAGAAAACGTATTTGCTTTTCTTGACAATATCACTGCTTCCTAATAGTACAAGTAAAGTGACTAAAAAGGGGCCAAGTACCAATTGGAGCCTAAGTGTCTAAAATCATCACCTAAGTGGGCATGATACAGTGAATTTAGGCACTTCTATTATTATGTGAAGAGCTAGCTTCTAGTCATTTGAAGTAGTCGGTTTGGTGTAATACTATTTTCAATTGGGTATCTATTTTCATTCTCTCGTCAGCTATTAGTGCAAAGTACTAGTACTACTATGGATGGTTAAGAGTAATTTATCTACAGCAGCAATAAGCCCTTATATACTGGGAAATAATAAATGGATTTGAGGAAGAAGCGTAGCTTTGGCAAATGAGACAAAAAATAGGAGAGACTATGGAGAAGAAAGACTTTGATGGTTTTAGAGGAAGTTAAAAAAGATACTTTGGAGGAGTGGTGTTACACTAGTAGAAACAGATCCCTGCTGGCTGCATAATGACTTAGAAAGTTTCAGACCAATATCATCTATATTATATTATATTTTTACTTATTTTCTAAATTTTTCAATCACGTTTTAAGTTCTAACATCTCTGCTTTGGAGGTCTAATGATTGGCTATGGCTATCATTAGTTACCTTGTGTGCTAACTGGCATCTACTGCATCTGTATTCCTTCCTTGATCTCCCAATTTTATATAAATACAAGTTTGATTTTTTTTTCCTTCCCATAACCTCCTTTGGTTGACTGTGGGTTGTTAGCAACACTTCTGAAACCTGCTCATGATTACTTTAAGCTTCACAAATATTTTTAAAAACTATTACTTATGGTACCCACAAACATTTCCAATGATTTTAAGGCATTTTTAACATTATTCCATTTCTATCAAATACTAAAATTGAACAAACTTTTTTCCCCTAAAACCAAACCAATAAAGCAGCACAGATTGTTTTCTCTAAAAGTTGAAGTACATCCTGTGATATTTCCCCCTATTTTCAGAAGAAAAAAATAGCTAACATAAAAGTAAAATGGAAAAGTTTAAAACCACCCAATAAAATGGATTCAAATAGTAGTATCTAGAGATAGGGATTCTTGGAAAGATAAGTGGGGCAATTCACAATGTCAGAAAGATCTCAGGTTTAAGAAAACACAGGATTAGGCAGCATAATGAGGCAGGACCAGAACAAATTTCCTACTTTTTCATTCTTCTTTCTTCCTATGATTCAGTTCTGTTATGCTGTACATGAAATTCACTCACCATATGATATATAGAACTATATTTTTGATCACAAGGAGAGTCACTGTTTCACACTTGTATGACAAAATTCCTCACTGGCTTAAAGCAGTAAGGCTAAGTTATGGAATTTAAATGGAATTTATTGGGTCTTTCTGTACAAGTGGAGGGCTATATTGTTAATACTCACTCTAGACACTTAAGTCTTTATACACACTCCCTACCACTGCATGCTTGGTTGGGTCAGCACTGTGGACCATTTCCCCTGAGGATGCAAATTCTCTATATGGAACAGGGTCTTGACGGGATAGAATGAAGGCCTTTTGGCCCCAACTCATTATGCCAAAAGCTCTATAATAAAATGATTTTCTAATGTGGAGAATGGAAATCAAACTGCTAACATAGCCACATGTGGCTCCCAACTAAATGGAAGGGTTATTAGTGAAAGACAGGGTGCTGTGATGGAAAGAACTGACTTTGGAGTCAGAGGACCTGGGTTCCAATTTGGACTCTATTTCTAACTACCTTGTGTGACCTTGAAATAGTCAATTTATGCATCTGGGTCTTAATTTTGCTTATCTAAAAAATGAAAGGGTCACACTAAATGATTGCTAGGGGTCTCTTTCAGTTCTGAAACCTCCAAAATCCTATGAATTTTTATTTTCTGTGCCTCATTGTCCTTGCTACACAACAGAGCTTTGACATCCTAGGCAAGTTGTCTGACACCCTATAAAATTATTAATTAATTGACAAAATTATTCAATTGAAATTTGGGGGCCGTACCAATTGAATTGCTTATGTCCCTTAGCCCTAGGAACTAAGAGGCTAAGAATGCATTCACTTTTTGCAATAAATTAATCTTTATCCCATCAGAGACTCACTTGGTACACACAAAGAAGTAGTTTATTAACTGATATTTTAATGATGCCTAAGTAGGTTCAAACAAAAACCTCAAAATTTGAGCTCATTCCTTTCACACTGGTAAGAGCAGGATGACTATAGCTTTAAGGGCACAAACTTTGCATTAATGCTTAAGGCAAGTTATTCTTAGAAATTTTAACTAAAAGATAATAAAGTCTAATGTTAATGGGAATAAAGATGGCTTGAGCCAGTTACTCATCCCTAATGAATTATCCAGTTAAAGAGGTTCTCTAAATATACCATTCATACTTACATAGTATTTTGTGGTTAATAAAATTCCTTTGCTTAAAACAATCTTGCAACATAATACAACAAACTCGTTTTTATTTTTTGTTGTTGTTGGTTTTTTTTTTTTTTTTGTGAGGCAATTGGGGTTAAGCGACTTGCCCAGGTTCACACAGCTGGTTAAATGTCAAGTGTCTGAGGCCAAACTTGAACTCAGGTCTTCCTGACTCCAAGGCCAGAGCTCTATCCACTGTGAGACCTAGCTGCCCCTAAATTTGTTTTTATTAACTCTTCTTTGGGGGAGGATTAATCTAGGCACTCAATATGCTAGAATTGTACAACTGAAAAAGTACTTGATTCAAGACTCAGAGGATTTGTGTCCAAATCCACTCAACTACATGTGTGACCCTGTGAAAGTTATTTTGGGCCCAATTTCCTCATCTGTAAAATGAGAGCATTGGCATTGCCAATATTAAAGATCTCTTCTATTACTAAGTCTATGATTTTATGAGCAACTCAGAATTCAATAACTCTAATTATAAATATGTTTGGTGGATTGGATGCAGCAAGTGTTAAAGACTACCCAGGAAAATATAACCAAATTATTAGGCTGCTGCTTTTTGGGAAATGACTATTGGAAACCAGGAAGAAGATGGAGGTGATAGGCAGATGCTTCTGGGCAGATAACTATGACCTTGATATAATAGCATAAATTAATTTCTTTTAAATATATAAAAAAGATAGAGGATAGGTAGAGGTGGCTTGTTTGGAGAGGAAATTTTATTCAGCATTTAGTCAAGAAAGAGGCATGGAGCAGAGAAGGGATGCTGGCTCAGCTGAATATAGACTTGATGATAGGAACCTTTTTGCATTTGTTTCTGCATCCCTGACGCCTAGCATATAGTATCAATCAACTTAATAAATGTCTGTTGAATTGAATTCAAATTGAATGGACTTGGTCAGCAGAGAGGAGGACTCATTCAATGACAGGTAAAGGTGAGTTAGGAGGATATAAGGTAGGCAGTATAAGATGTCTTGTATTTAGAGCTGGAGGAGTTGAGTATAAATTCTGGCTCTGGCAATGGATAATTAACTGGATGTCTCTGGGCAA